TAGCAATTGCCCTGCGCATCATTTGTACATTTCAATCCTTTTATTACTACTGTTGTCATTTTATTAGTGTTATCATTATCATTATTAGTCTCTTCTTTTCTGTTCTATTAAATCATTCTTATCTCAACCCAGGAGTTTTACTTCTTTTCCTGATTTTCTCCCCCATCCCACTGGATGGGGGGGGAGTGAGTGAGCGGCTACGTGGTGCTTAGTTGCTGGCTGGGGTTAAACCACGACACAGTTCATCTTGAGTGCACTCAAATGGCATGTGCAGGACAACCAGGGGATCAGGCCCAGTCAACACAGGTTTACGAAAGGCAGGTCCTGCTTGACCAACCTGATCTCCTTCTATGACCAGGTGACCCACCTAGTGGATGAGGGGAAGGCTGTGGGTGCTGTCTACCTTCAGCAAGGCCTTTGACGCTGTCTCTCATGGGATAAGCCTTGAGAAGCTGGCGGCTCATGGCTTGGACAAGTGTACTCTTCGCTGGGTGAAAAACTGGCTGGATGGACGAGCCCAGAGGGTTGTCATGAATGGAGTTAAACCCAGTTGGCGGCAGGTCACAAGTGGTGTTCCCCAGAGCTCAGTACCGGGGCCAGTTCTGTTAAATGTCTTTATCAATGACCTGGACGAGGGGATCGAGTGCACCCTCAGCAAGTTTGTGGATGACACCAAGTTGGGAGGCAGGGTCGATTTGTTCGAGGGTAGGAAGGCTCTACAGAGGGATCTGGACAGGCTGGATCAATGGGCTGAGGCCAGCTGTATGAGGTTCAAAAAGGCCAAGTGCCGGGTCCTGCACTTGGGTCACAACAACCCCATGCAGCGCTACGGGCTTGGGCAAGAGTGGCTGGAAAGCTGCCCGGCAGAGAAAGACCTGGGGGTGCTGGTTGACAGCCAGCTGAACGTGAGCCGGCAATGTGCCCAGGTGGCCACGAAGGCCAACGGCATCCTGGCCTGCATCAGAAATAGCGTGGCCAGCAGGAGCAGGGAGGTGATCGTCCCCCTGTATTTGGCACTGGTGAGGCTGCACCTCGAGTCCTGTGTTCAGTTTTGGGCCCCTCGCTACAGGAAAGACATTTGAGGTGCTGGAATGTGTCCAGAGAAGGGCAACAAAGCTGGTGAGGGGCCTGGAGCACAAGTCTTATGAGGAGCGGCTGAGGGAACTGGAGTTGTTTAGTCTGGAGAAAAGGAGGCTGAGGGGAGACCTTATTGCTCTCTACAACTACCTGAAAGGAGGTTGTAGTGAGGTGGGTGCTGGTCTCTTCTGTCAGGTGGCTGGAGGTAGGACGAGAGGAAATGGCCTCAAGTTGCACCAGGGGAGGTTTAGATTGGACATTAGGAAAAATTTCTTTACTGAAAGGGTTGTCAGGCATTGGAACAGGCTGCCCAGGGAAGTGGTTGAGTCACCATCCCTGGAGGTATTCAAAAAGCGCATAGACAAGGCACTTCAGGACATGGTTTAGTGGGCATGGATGATGGTTGGACTCAATGATCTTGAAGGTCTTTTCCAGCCTAAATGATTCTATGATTCTATGACTCTATGATCTTTACCAGTTAAGATGATTTACTGGCAATGGCAAGACTAGTCCTTCAGTTTTTGCTTTGGAAGCCTGTTTTTGGCTACCTTTTATTTTGCTTTAGTTATTGGTTTACAATTGGAGCAGTGTGCTGCCAGTACTTTAAGCAAAGCATGTTGCTGTATTCACTGAGAAAACTGTGAACAACCAAGCAATTGGATTTCAAACCCAGAAGTTACTTCAGAGAAGCAGCACTGTGAAACCCATGCACAAGTCAAGAAAGAGTGATTTAGCAGTATTCAGATTTGGGATGGCTCCTAGAGGTAGATGAATTAACTCCATCTCTTCTTTTAACATGGTGACAGAATTGCATCAAAACCTTCTGAAAGCTCACCAGATTTTCCCCCATTATAAAGTGAAAAGGGCAAACAATGTGGTTTTGTTAAGTGGCTTTTCTCTCAGAGGATGTCCTGAAGCCCTGCACAGCATTTGATGCTATTTATCTGGCTCTCCAACAGCCATTACACAGCTTAATGCTGAGACCCTGGGCTCAGAAACTTCTGTCAACTAGATCTGCAAATACATATATTTATGCTTAGCACAACTGCTAATTTAAACAAAGGAAAACAATGTCATGCAAAGCTGGAAAATGGGGCTATAAATATTGAGAGCAACAACATTTTTTAATATGATAAAATGAAACAAGTTTTGGTGGGTTTTCTGTTTTGGTTTTGTTTTTTTTTTTAATTTCCACCCATGTGAAACAATGCTTGGAGAGTTTGAAGGACATCTTAAAATGAGATCTTATATATGAAAATAAAGTGGGAAAAACAGCCCTCTCAAATAGTAGCCATGAAATAGGTCTGAAGGCTTCTATTTAGAAAATACAGCGTAGATGTATTTATAAGATCATCTCATGGAATGTAAATGTGATCAATGCTGCTAATAAAAGGAGATTTTTGACCACTCAGGAAGAATGGAGGTGACATGATTTGCCACCAGGAGATGAATTTAATAACAGTAGAACATACCAAACTCTGTGAGGGCCCAGTTGGGGAACTGCAAGCAGTTTTTCATTTAAATAGAGAGGGAAAAAAAAAGGGATTAATGAGAAAAGAATTTTCTACTATAAGTGGAGAACATTGTGCTAACAAGTTCTCCAGGGAAAGAGACAGGAGAGAAACCATAAAAAAAATTCTCACATTTGTCAGTGTTCATTCAATATTTTTCCAAAGTGCATAGATACTAAGCTCACTAAACAGAGATACAATATTCTGTGATTCCCTCCAATAGAACTTAGGTAGTTTATAGGATAGTTAAACATAACTTACAACACAGGCAATCAGCACAAAATATAATGCAAACTTTCAACTGCATTTAGTAAATGAAATTAAAGGATAAAGAACATCTTACCTCTTAATGAAATCAAACACTATGGCTGCATTAAGTGTTTTGTTTGAATATTAAAAAGATTATGGATTGACCTTACACTATAGATAAGCAAATTCAAAGACACACATGCACTATCGGTACACAACAAACAAACTAGGCAGCCTAGATCTTAAGGACAGGGCAAAATTAGTAAAACTACTGGTAGGGCAATGGTAACCTAACTACAGTTGCTAGGCCAGAACCTTTCTGTTTTGCCTTGTTCATTAAATCCTTAGCAAAACAAATGACAGTTAATGGGAAAATTCTTGGCAATCAACTGGAAATATGAAATGTCTTGCAATGATGATGTCTTATTCCACCTCACCCACCTTTTAACGTCTATGCCAGAGGGGATATTATAATAGGATAGGCTACATATTGCATCAAGAGAAAAATGAAGTACAGAAAACAGAACTACTCTCAATAGGATTAGTCCTCTTTATCCCATAAATACAAGAAACCACCCTCCTTTGTTTCAGTGTACACTGAAAAACCCCCAAATAGCTAAAGTTCAAGTTGCAGCTGCTTTGGAATCCCTGATGACTTTTTGTTTTGTTTCTCTTTCAAAAATTTCTGTATAGAAGCCCCAAGCGACTAAGGCAGCAACACACTGGCTGAATTAATGGCACAAGGTAACCTATACAAGATTAATTCTTCTGTGAGAATGTTTTCTTCGGAAAGAAAACTCCATATCAGTCCCCAAGCACACACATTTGCTTCTATTCTAAACCAAAAAAGCTACTCAGCCAGGCTCGGTCAATGAAATAATTTCTGCCATACTTTATGCATATGAGTACCAAAACTTGCTTCTTCAATGTACGCAACCATCTGATGCCTGAAAGAAGTACCTGGCACTCAACCACCACCACAGCATGAAAGATCTCTAAGCATCTCTACACCCATCCCCAGTGCCAGAGTGCAGGAGGGTTTCTCATGTTGGGCCATTCAGTGGCCTGAGACCAAACCATCTTTGCACTCAGCATAGCTAGTCCAGCTGTTGGGATCTTGTTTTAGAGCTTACTAGGGACATTATGACATAAAATAGCCTGAGCAAGGATCAGAATTTTGAATAATTTATCTTAGAGATAAATCTCAGTCATCTTGAGTTACCTGACATTATGTCTATCAGTTGTCTTCGGCAATTTCATTTTTACGTGCAGGTTTCTCATTAACAACACACGTGTCTGCCTTACAATTGAAAAAGGACTAAGGCCTTTTGAGCAATATTGTGGAGAGGGACTTCAAAGATGAAGGTATGGGTTTTGCTCTGCCAAGGACATCAGATGTGATGATTCAAGTCACTTGGTATTTTTGCTTTAGTTTCCTCTTTTCAAAATCCTTCAGAATTTTTGTACAGACAAATGCAAGAACAACTAAACTAGGAGAATTTCACCTACTAATGAGATGAAGAGCCATATACAGAAAGAAAACTACAACATTTTTTTATTCCAGGATTATTTTGTACTCAGCTTACAAAAGTTGCCATACTAATTGTTGAAATTACAATTGGCTATGCTGAGTATGCACCACCTACGATTTACTTTAATTTTTTGAGATATAAGCTTACGTACTTCTGCCGTTTCTGAAAAATCTCAGAGAAAATACAGCTTGTGCAGATAAACAGTTGCCATACATTAGAAACAGTCAAGTTCCCAGTAATAACTTTAACAAGTATTATTTTGTATATAAAGGACATGTAAAAAAGACAGGAATTCTAAAAAGATAATTGAGTAATTTATGCTTTGTAACACATTCTTAATACTGCTTTTATATTACTAAATTACACAATTTGAAAATATACCACAAAATATTTCTATTGTAGAATAAAAACAAATAAATAATACAAACATTTTAGATTAAACTAGCTGCTTTGCTTGATTCCATTCACAAAGGAGAGATGTTACACAAAGTGGAGCTTAATCTATTGAAAGTTTCTGGTGCAGTTAAGCTTAGCTTGTCATTTCTTCATTTAATAAAAGATGCATCTGAAAGATAATATTGATCCTTCTCACGTACTGACATATTTCAGATCATACTGATAACATAAAACCAGAATTTATCTGCTCAGTGTTACAATTGAATTCTTAACAGTTCACAATTGGTTTAGAGTAAAAAATGAGAAAGCACGCAGCTTTGCCCTCACACCCTTTTGTTTTCATTTTATTTTCATTTTGCTTCATTTATAGTGATTTTAATGTACCTTTTCAGACAGTCATATAACAGATGACATATATCATACCTTAAACGTAGAAAGTCCATAAAGTCTTGCAGTGTGAACAGACACTTGTGAAATATTTGTAATGTTAGATATAAAATCCTCAAGGTATTTACAAGCTTGTTCCAGGTGTGTTGTGTTTATGATGATTTGAACAAGCTACAAGAGACAAAAAATTCTTGTAAAATCCTTTTTGTATTACCCATTGAGATTTGATTATGTTCAAGAACATAGAAAACCACATCTCAGAAAAATTGTATGGCTTGTCTTACTAACATGGCAATATATGATTTATAGGGCTCTTTCCTCATGTTCTTCTTCATTTCATTTATACAAGAGGTTCTTGAGTTTGAAACAACATTCAACATGACATGACACTGCTCTAACGGCAACAGCCTAAGTCCTTCTCAGCGTGTTTCAGTAGGTACCTGCTGTGTCCTGACACTGCATGTACCTGCAGTGAATGTTCATAGTGATTCATTGCCTCACCCTGTCTTATTCTCTCCAATAAACAAATTAAACCAAGAGGCCCAATGAAGAAACAACATGCACAAACCTACTAAAATATTTTAATTGCAATTACTACAAAAAAAGTTTCATTTGTTAGAGTGAACTTGAGATTTTAGATTTCTTGATTGGGTAGGTTTACTCTGAAACTTTACACAGTTCACGGGAGAGGGAGTGATTCCTCACACACCCCCCTTATTTTTAAACAGGAAGAAGAAGAAATTCAACAATGTGCTGCTAATTGCTAGACAGGAGCAGAACACATGAACCATACTTCATACGCAGCCAAAGAAGTAAAAGTCTTTGGCTTATTTCTTGCAAATCTGTTTATCATATAGGAGACAGAACTCTTTCATTGTCATCTCTCTCTCTCAAAAGGCATCCCTGTGTCAATATACTTGCAACTAGACTCAACACTGTATTGTTATTATTTATGAAACAGATATTGATGCTTTTCATCTTTCACCTCTTTAAATGTTCAAATTTAAAGCAACCACTACTTGTTTTTCTTACACAAATCTTCGTATCACAGTATATCTACATTTACAAGAATAGTTTTAGCACTAATTGTCTTAACACAGTTTTGAGTATGTTTTTTAAAACTTACCTCTGTTAAACCTATATGAGGTTTTTTAATTAGGTTCTGTAAACAACTACTTAGAGTTCTTGTAAGCAGCAAATTTGTAGATTTTCTGAGCATATCATCTATTTCTGTTGAGCTGAAAAAAAATGTTTATTTTTACTGTACGGGACAATATTTTGACAGTAATACTTAATATTTTTATTTTTTTCCCTGCAAAGGCAATTTTTCATGTTAAGAATTCCCTATATGCATTTAATTTCTGGTTGCTCAAAGTCTTCTGTGATCTAACACACAGAACACCTCTTTCACTTACCAAATTATCCATTAACTGAATTTCAACACTGAAGCAAAATCTGTTATTTTTAGATTTTGGACATGTTTATTGACACAGCGGTTCGGAAAGAGTAATTTGTGGGTTTTAATGAGTTACGAAGGAGGTCAACATGCGCTCATTAGTACATGTAAATTATAAACAGTATCAATTAAGAATGTGTGAAAGCAAGTAATTTACATCTTTAACAGTGCAGAAGTTGGTGACTGGCCACGAATACCTTCCAGATTTCAGATCTATGAATGTTATTTTATGTAATTAAAACTAAGCTTTTGAAGGCCACAGGAGGAAAGGAAATCGGAGAATTGTGATGTTTTCCATGAGAAAAAGGTGGGATGGGAGAGGGAATGAGGATGCAGCACATTTTGTTGCAGGAGAAATCATTGCTACGTAAACTCAAAGCACTGAGAAGGGAAAGACCATTCGAAGTAATCAGGGATGCTACACAATTATTTCTGAAATGGTCAGTATCAAAGTATATTTTTCAGATTTTACATGCTTTGTTAAATAAATAAAATCTCTAGATTATTCAAACCAATCAATACTGTTTAAAAACCTCCAGCAATGTTTTAGACAGCTTACTATGCCAAGCTACCCATACAGACATACATATATTGTATATAATATATACACACATATGAAATATACGCTATAGCATTGGGAATCATAGATTAAATATAAATAATTATATATGTAAATTATATGTAAATTATGAACCAAGCAGAGCTAACAAGTACACAAGAAAACATACTTTCATTTTGATATATATTTTTAGGTCACCTGGAAGTTATAGGTTACCTTATAGTCACATTCCTGATACCTTTAAGCTTACCTGCGGTGAAGTGACTCTGAAAACTTAAGGCTTGCATAAATAAATTCCTTAACCTGGATATAAATCTGAGGCACTGACTGAGACATTGGAAGCTTCTTTGGAAAGGATTGCTGTGAAAATAAAAGATAATACTATCTTACACTTGAAACTGATTCTAAAGGACAGCTTGGTATTAAACACAACAATTAGAAAGCCACTTCACACTATCAATATTTTAATCTATCTTAAGCTTTTCTGTTTCTCATCAAATACAAACAGCGGTATGCGTTGAGCTGACTTCTACATCTGTTTAAATAGCGTATAAGCAAAATAGAACTTTATCACTTATTTAAATTACAATAAAGTTTGGAAACTTTATGTAATTTAAGATCCCTCTGTAGAAAGCAATTTACAAACACATTAAAAAACAGGTCTCAAACTGCTTTTAATCTGAATGAACAAGATAGATGTAAGTGGGATGGGAGGTTAAAAAATGCAAATTTCTTTTGCCAAAGAAAGCAGTGGGGGGAAAAAAAAGGTTTGAGAAGTTCAATACATCTGGGATTTTCAAAGCATCTTGAGAATGTTTAGGCATGTATATTTACTATCATACATTTACTTATTTTCTCTCAATGGTTCACAAAACCAAAGCAGTTTGAATTCTTTTCAACAATTTGGATTAACATGTGAGAAATACTAGTAGTCTGTAGGAATAAAATCATGTTTCTTACTTCAATTTTAAAGCTGATATTGTATTTGGGAGGACAAAAAGAAATAAATTCAATTAAATCTACACATACCAAATAGGTATTTCTGCATTGAATACATAATTTTTGAAATCTGCAAAACAATTAATTTTCTGTTTACTCTATGACTAATAAATGAGAAAAATAATTAACGACTGGTATCATCCCTGGAGAATTTAATTTCTCTAAAAATAAAAAGCATTAATCAACAAGAGCTCAACATATGTGTATTAAAAAACCAACACAAAACAGATTACTTTGACATTCTCCTAATCATACCTCTTTATTTAAGATTAGGTGGTGTGACAAATATGTGGTGTAAGCGCCAGGCTTTTGTGTCATTCAATGATAGCAAACCTTTTTAACAATAAAATTTACTTCACATGTGTGTTCACCTGATTTAAGCAATTAATTTTGACAGATTAAACAAGTGTTATTATATAGAACTATTCTGGATCATCACAGTATTCTGTAAGCAGGGCCTGAGTTTCAACCTTCATATATTCAATGATCTAAGAGAAGCAATTCTTTATCCTCTACAGTGTCTGGCCAATAAGGAGGACACAACACTTCCTGATTATTAAAGCAGGCAGCAAGAAAAAAAAAACCAACCGACAAACAGAGCTACAACCAATTGTTTCCCTTCTGAATACAGAAAGGGAGTAAAATTAGATGATATAATCAAACCATGATAGTTTGGCACATTCAATCTAAACAGCAGAGCACAGACAAGACTGTTTTAACCAGTCAGATTGGATTTGCTATGTTAAATATCTAGTAGGTTCTGGTCATAATTCTGCCTATATGCTGCAAGCAACTCCTATTATAAACCTACCTGTAAAATGTGAGGGTGATTCATCCTAACCTACAGTTAAAAATGAGAAACACACTCATGTTCGTCTCTTTTTATACTAAATGGAGAGAAACAGACATTTTCAAAGGTGAAATTCCCCTTAATCTGTAAAAGGTATCAGAGATGCATCAAATGGAATTAGCCCTCTGGGGTGTCTATTCCTCCCGATCAACCACACAGGCTCCTTCAGCGACTAGCCTGAACTTACACATCTTTTTTTTTTTTTTTTTTTTTTTTTTTAAAAATCAAAAGGGGGTTTATTTTAACCCATCCAAATAGGACCTCCCATTGCCTTATAGGCTGAGGCAAGAACAGAGAGGTGAAGTGGATGAAATTGTAAACAGCAACCAATAGAAGTGATGTTGGACCATTTATAGTTTCCCCTCCATGTGGATTCCCTGCTATCTAATAACACATAAGGAACACACTGCAGTCTTTCTTTCAACAAAGATACTTAATGATTCTTTCTCCTCTATTCCACTGCCTAGTTGACAAAATTTTTATGAAATCAATTATCTTTGAGACTTCTGCCCCTTCGCTAAGTTTGGTTGAAGTCAACTAAACTGCTTCAAAAATTGCTGGGATACAAGAAAAAAACCTCAGACTGCCTTATTTCTAATGATGTCCTTCTGCTTTACATACAGGTTTCAAAGTTCTTTTCAGAGATATGTAAAAAAAATGTTTTCCCTGCTTTACAGATGAATTAACAGGGACAGAGAGATGTGAAATCACTTACCAGCACCACACAGCTGGTCAATGATAGGGTTGGGAACAGAATCCAACCTGATTACCAGCTTTACTCTCAAGCTCTCCAGCCCAAAACCTAAGCATCAGTGACATTCTGCCCATAAAATATCTACAAAAAGTGCTGCTCTCTATGAAATGGAAATCCCTCTCAGTGTCATATTCCAAAATAAAAATTGTTGGGTACAAAGAATACATTTCCCTTCTGGTGAAGTAAGGGCCAAAGCTTTGTATTAATCACACATGTATGTAATTACACATGCCCGCACAAGTAATGTCCATACACGCATGCTAATGTATCAGACAGAGTGAGAGAGGCTAGCAGATAAAATTATTTAGTGCAAGTTAAAAATCTCTGTAATTTATTAGCAAAATATGTCATGCTAAATAGTATCTGGGGGGTGGTATACTTCCAACACTGTAAGGGATTTCCATTGTGTTTATCTTATTTTAGTATTATAATGGCTAAGTAAATGAATTTGATGGAGGAAAGCATCCAGAAAGCACTCTGGAGTCTTATTAAAAAATCAGCATAAAACCCACCTTTCCTTTTTCATCTTCACTGCAATACTGTATTAATGACATGCAGCTGTATGTTTGCCTGGTAAATCCCTGCTGAATCATAAAATTATAGTATCTTTTTACTTTTGCAGATATCTGTAGCGATGGATCGTGTATAAATCAGCTTCCCTCTACAACAGTTACTCCCACTGTCATGTGGTTCTTAGATTTAGTTCACCTCTACAGACTCCATCATGAGCCTGTTATTTCTTCATCGGTATTACGAAAACCGTATTTGAATAGCAGAACATATTAATCACCTTTCTGAGAAAGGAGTTTGGAGTGAAAGAATGGCTGAGGCTATGAAAGAACATCCTATTGGAATGCTAGTATGGCAGAATTATTCACAGTCCCTTCACGTTTATTTTGCCCCACATGCACAAACACCAATAATTAATTTTAAAAGTGAAACACAAAAGTTGCTGTCTCTAACTGATCCGTTTTACACATATTTTTGCGATAGTACAGCATATAATAGACTGAGTTACTAAACCCAATGAGTTGAAACAAAATTCAACTAATTAAAGACTGTATCAATTAAACTGTATTATTAATTTGTTTACAAAACAATGGGTTTCATTATTCACTCAAACATCAGAGCAAATTACTAAAGCTTTAATTTTCATATTTACTTATGACTAGATAATTACACACCAAGGTCATTTAGCCTCTTAATCTACCTAGCTTTTCAAATTTTAATTGCTTTTTAATTATAAAAAATCATTACTATCCCAAGTGTCCTTAATTGGATTTCAGCAAACTTTTATAACATAAAACTTGTCCTTACCTTATCAAGTTCTGGATCTTGAAAAGGAAATTTGCTTATAACTATTTTGTATTCCTCTTCATTTGCTATAGGAATAGGGCTATAGTTGTCTGCTTCAAAAATATCCCTGGTGAATTAGTTAGTAAAATAAAAAAAAAAATTAGGACATGTAACTTTTTTTACAGTATTTTCGAATGTTAAAACATGTAAATGAATATAAATTTTACCACCATACTTAGGTGTGCAGCTTCAAAAAAGTTATGACCTGCAATCATCATAATTTCAGACATCCAAACTATTTTTAGATTAATTTGAAAGTACCTTTTATATGCTAACTCTTTATACTGTGGCTAATCACAGAGAAAAAAACAGCTGAAAGCATTTTAATACGTATGACTCAAAGCATAATACAGCAAAGGAACTTTAGATTAACTACTCTACTACAGGGTAAACCATAATGAGATACTTAATAATTATGGTAGCCTACAATTTGCCTACACTAAAGCAGATATTCAGAGAGTCTCACTTAGATACCTCAGCTACATATTGTCAATGGAGACGATTCAGAGAACTTCAACTAGGCATATGGCCACAGCGTTATTTAAGTACCCTCTGGGCTTTTCTGTTACTCAAATGATGACACTAGGAGTTTAGAGAGCTGGAGAACCTTAAGTGGTCAATTTAATTTCAAGGTTTTCTGTAATACAATGTAACATTTTTTAAGGTAAACAATTTCTGCACATTTAGACATCACACCCTATCTGCAAACAGGCTTTGGAGTACAGTCCCAGGCTGCTGTGTTCCTGGGTTTACAATTTACTCTGTCAAATTATTCCAAGGAACAGGTGGAAACCAACCTGCATTAAAAAACAATGAAGACGTACTGACAATGTCAGTAGTCTGTCAGGGAGATATGCCTATCAGCTAACTGCAAACACTAAGACAACCTAAGTTAGGAACCTAATGCCTTATTGCAATAGCCTAGAGTTACTAGGTTCGTAATGAAGAAAAACAGATGTCTCCTGCTTGTTTCTCCAATCATGTCCTTTTGGAGACCCTCCTTCTCTCTGTTAACTACAGAAGCAGTACTTGATGGATCTTCTAAATATTAGTTACATGTGATGAATATCTTAGTCCTATCCAACCCAAAATTCATAAACAACACTGAGTTAATAAATTCTTCCAGAATTACAAGTCTATCAAAAAAACTTGGAAGTTGGACAAAAACAATAGATGCAATACAAAAGGCACCATTATTTTGAAATACTAACCTGAACAATCCAGACCACTTTTTAAGAAGTGTTTCATTGTATTGGTCTCTTATCTCAAATAAAAGATCAAATAGTCGGTTCACAGGAAAACCATAGCCCTAAGGTATAAAAATACAGTCAATTCCTATCCCATGAATTCTGGACTCTGAGATGAGACTTATTATTCAATCTTGTCACTTTTATTAAACAAATTATAGTACTTTAAACACACCACTACAATTAGAAGATTATATATTAAATTCTCACCAAATACTTTATCCTATGTTACCAGTTTTCAAGTAGAAATTTGTCGCATTTCTAACATTTTAACTTGCTATTTATGCATATAACTAATCTTTTTTTATCAGTGTGTTAAACATTGCAAGAACATTTGTCAAAGGTGTTCATTTGGTCTTTCAGCTGGAGAGTTAATGATAACTGGAATGCTATTCTTGCTTAAGAAGTAAAGCATTTTAAAAGACAAAAACGTACACAAATTACAAAGCTAACATTAATTTTGCACAGATATGAATAACCGGATGCTAGCTGGATAGCCCAGAATGCATACAATGAGTTGATAATACTGAAAAGGAGGAACCAAGGCAAGAAATACATATATTTTAAAAATGTTCTTGTGTAATTTTGTTCTTGATTCATATATATGATTCAGGAAAACCAAAAGGAAAAATTTGACTCTAGGATTTTCAGTTAAATTACTAATATAGTATGTACCTGCAAAGTATCAGCAAATACTACAATGAGATTCTTCAGTTCCAGAACAAGGTCGGGATCACTGCAATATGACTGAAAGGGAGAAATTCTGGTTTTGTTAAAAGAATTTAAACTATGGGACATATGTTTTCAAAGAATATTAGCACAGAAGGTTAAATTCTCCAGCCTTATCCCTTTACCTGACTGACTGCCTTAGTAAAAAACAACTGAGACTCACTTGTCTTCACTTAGTCCAGCTACATAAAAGTATTTGTTAAATTTTTATATGAACTATCAGTAGTATAAAAGCTCAGAAAAAGTAAACTAAAATATGAGATTCAATAAATATCAGTATGTTGTACTGAGATTCAAAAATCGGCAAATTACATTTATTTCAGTGGAACAGAAGCACACGTCAAAATGCTTTGCTAAATCAACATCAGAGAGGTTTCCACAGGACGTTCTTTTGAACACTAAGCCTGGGTCTAACTAGTTCTAACTGTGCCACCTCAGACAGCTTCCCAGCTGTATGGGGAAAACACTATAAAATACTTTCTAAGTAAGTTCAAATTACAAATTTGATGGTAGAAAGTCAAGACATTAAGTTATTTACTCTACTAAATGACTGAAATATGGAGGTGTGGAGTCATACAACTAAGGATTTCACCTCAGCTTCACTATTTGCAATACTGGATGAAGTAAAAAAATATTTATATTAAAATAATTTAAAGCAGCATGAGAATATAGTATTAGTTAGAGACTATATATGCCTGTTTCACCTTTCTTTAATTTTTGCTCTTAGCATACTTTAGTAAAGTAAGGGTTTGGTTTACAATACCTCATAAGACCACATACACTTACCTAAAAGTCTTTACTAGGATGACGTTAGAAAGAGATTGTGATAGAATTTGTTTTGAGGGGTGTTATGCATTTTGAGAAGAAACAGTGAGCAACTACATGACAAGACACTGAAGAGTTCTTTAGAGATTACATTACTTTTACTCCTTAAATTACCATATTCTTACATAGGTGTATAAATCCATAGGCAGACAATTAAGTTGCAATGTATTTAGCTTAAAAAAATGCTGAATATATCTCAATTTATCCCAATCCTCTAAAATTAATTAAAAAGCATGAGAACATCTCATTTATCATAGAACCTTTACTGATCAGTGGTACAACTATAGTTGCAATTTGAGCTTTTTCCCCATTTTTCCTCAGCATATATGAAATGTGAAATACTCCTTCAATTAAAGATCAATTGTAATAAAAATTAAAATAACATTGCATAAAGGAACTGCTTCTAGCAAACATTAAAAAGGGAAAGATAAAACTCTTCTATTTTTTCCAATAGTAAAAGTTATACCAATAGTAAACTCTGAAGCAAGTTACTATCAGTCAGTTTGAGTGAACAATGGTATTCCATTGGTCTTCACAGAGGAGTAAGAAATAGCATGCAGCTAGTCAGCATCATTGGAGCCAAGGTAGAAATGTAACTTTAGGAGACACACTTTTAACATAGAAAAATTCTGTATCAACTGAGGATTTCAGTGATACCTTTACTTCAACATAAACATATCACTACTATAGCACTGAAGAGATAGCTCCAAGGGTTTTGCTGGTGGAGTTTATTTTGGAAACACTGCATTTGGAATGATAATTAGGAACTATTTCCTGGTGGTGCTTTCAGTGCCGAACTATTCAATCTGATCTAATGAAGAGGTCAGTTGAGACTAATGAGGAAGGATTGCAATAATAACAGCAGATTAACTCTGCATATTCTAAACTGCTGGACTAAGAGAAGGTTTGGAAGACCCAGTGAGTTGTAAATCAGTGGAGGATTATGCAAATAGTCCATGGCTGCAGATCACAGCCTGATACTGTTGGGAAAAACAAAAGCTTGGCAGGCTCCCTCCCAAATCTGAGCAATTTTTAATCACAAGGAAAAGAAAACATGAGAGAGGTGTAATTTTTCACTTTGTTACTATCCCAGCTTTAAATATAAAGAGCTCTGAAGTTGGAGGATTTAAACTGCAATACTGATAAGACTTCTCACTTACTGAATGTGTTCTAAGAACAGCAATGATCTTGGAAAGGGCCATGTTCCAGAGTTCATCGGTATATGTTCTAGTTACCAACCCTTGGGTTACATGTAAAATGTGGTCTTCTACTACAAAGAAACTAAAACAAAATAATGCTTAAATTATTAAGTTGTTTTCTAATATTAGAGCAAATTCTACCCTTTCACACACAAGCATAGTCAAACCCTTCCCCACTTGAGCAGTGACACTTCGGTAGGTTTGGTGTTCTGCTTTGCCCAGCGTGAAGTCAAAATGTGGAAAGTTTGTTTCATGCCAACTGCAGCCCAGGCTGCTGGGCGGTCCTTGTGGGGCACTGTACTGGTAGGATCTGGATGCTCTTCCCTGCTCAGACCCAGCAACAACCACCCGCATGATTCGTGCAGAAACTGAATCTTGCAGAAGAAAGTTTTTGGACAATGGGAGAACGGAGGGTGAATTAAGAATCAATACAGTAAAACTGAAATAAATCTTAGTTTAGAAAACTTACCCTACAATTTGACTGAAGTATCTTCTATAGCCTTCTACTGTTTCGTGCTTTCAGTGAAAAAGAAAACAAGTTTAGGAATAAAAATACCACTAAGGACTACAACCCAAGTCAATGCAAAACCAAAAGTATTGGTTACCATGCTTGACTGTGGCTGCAGAACTAATCTTGCTTGTTTCCTTCTTTGTTTTCTGTAGTAATTTTCAAATATTTCTCCATCACCCTAAAACAAGACAGAAGTAGTTAAAACGAGAACAGTACCTCAGTATGAAAAAGGCACTTCTTAAACTAAGGGTCGAATTCTCTTGAACTAAGCCACATATCTTGCATTTACTCCACACGTAGACCTCCAGCTGACAGCAGCAAAGTTTTGCATGCATTAAAATATGCAGAAATTACCTTCTTTTCTTTTTTTTAAAGTAGCCTACAGAATATACTGTAAATAAAAATTTTGCTCATGTGCCTACATTTTGTCAAACAGTATTACCCATTTTAAGCAATATTTATGTTTTTAAACTACAGTTTTCAGAGTATATTAATATTTATAGACAAGGCATATTAACTATTACTCTATAACTGAAACTCACTGTCTTCTACAGTGTTTCTTTAGGTTATTCAAGAAACTAACTGCGTTATAAAGTTAAGTTACAAAAATGCTTCTGTGAATATATGATACATCTGAACACTGCCTGTGTTAGCGTTGCCTGAGAAAAAAAAAAACCACACGAGATTTATTTAATATTTGCTTATTCTCTTTGGAATTGGTAAATATAATGACTGTGGATTTGGATTTTTCTCCTATCATGGTGCTCAAAAATACAATACCCTCTGTGCCTAATGATTATATTGTGAGGAATTCAAGTGACATCCTACCCATCTCATTAAGATGGCCATTCAGCAGAAACCATCTGTCCATTTGAAATCAGTGCTACATTGACTCATCTATCTACTGAACACAATGTAATTTGTATGCAAGCAGAATAAAGCAGCTTAGCATTTTTAAGGTTTGTTTTCACTTCATGTGCCAATTATTAGGCTAGTGCTGTTTAGAATTCCATTACTTGGGCTTCCAAAAAATCTTCAAATGAAATTATTACAGAGATTGTACATTACTAAGCCAGCATTACTTACCTAACTCCTTTATAAGATATAACAAAGAAAGTTTAAATTTAGTATTTTAAGTTCATAATGAATATTTAATCATATTTAGAAATACTGCTAACCTAACAAAATGTAAAAGTAAAAAAGAGACTTGGCTAAAAAACAAAAAAATCCACTTGAAACTGAGATGCAAATTTACTAGAACACTGTTGCAGCACAACTTTACACAGTGTGTTCTAATTCATACTAACCATTCACCTCCAGCCCAAATATTCAATGCAGTTTTCAGATGCACAAAGCCATTACCGAATTCTACTTCCAATGCCAAATCTCTACTCAGTCCTGACACAAGCTTCTCAAATGAAAGAGTAGCTGTTCTTCTCAAATCCACACCAAAAATGGAGATGTAAAATATCTTACGATTATTTATAGACCGTGCTATTCTATGCAGTCAAGATCAGCAATTCAGGCATAACAACTATTTTAAAGAGATGTTCTAAAGCAATCAGCAGAATACAGCAACAACCCTGATGATTCACTCACTGAATAAGCAAAGGAAAGGCAAATAAAATATACCGAAGCAGTGCATTTGTTTTGCCCAGCTTCCAAAAATTCATGAGTTTATATCAATAGAAATAATAAATCAGTTCACATTAGGTCATAAATTCTAGGGATACTGCTCATATATCAAGTGTTGTTTCACACTGTAGTTACATTTATTTTATACTGCTATATAGCATTTAGTTAAAAGGTAACATTACATGCTAAAGAGATCAAGGGTGTTTTCACCAGAAGTTAAATATACAGCATCTCACATAATATATGGGCTAAAAAAAAAAAGCTCTTTATATATATATTGCCCAGAAGTCTCTAGTCTAAAGAAAGGTTACTCATCAATAAATACAGTCTGTTTGGTATGTAGGTATCTTACGATCACAAGCTACATAGTATTCTGAGGTATATAAAATTCTGCTTTCTTCTTCAATATGAAGAAGCAGAGTAGAAAACTACTGTCCTGCATAAAAATAGAATATTTTCCACAATTTTGTAGCAGAGAGAGAATTCGCTGAGAAGGTGACATTTGCTGTGAGATAAGTCCTTGATCTAGAAATGTAATGAATAGCCACGTGGCATCAACTCCCGTCCTTTGCTGTCGTCATGAAGTTCTCTAAACTCCAAAACGGATGGTTTACAGCAGGAGGTAAATGAGAAGGACTCCAAGAAGGGGTTAATGCACAACTCTTGATAATGCTACCATGGCTTATTAATTAGATTATGCTGGCAGGAAAGACAGAAGCCCTATTCTGAAGACATCAACAACCCTTTCTGGTATCAGAGAGCACTCCAAGTTGTTTTCTGTCTCCAGTAAATTTGGAAGCTGGCAAACTTTCTGTGCAAACCCAAAGAGCATATCCTTGGATCAAGGATCCAACATCAGGATCCTTGTCAAAGTGAAAAACATACTCACATATTACTTTTAAATGTCATCTATTAATTTTACTTCAACTGGTGTATTTAACTTAACACATTCTTTTTCATGTGTTATTTCACACTCATTTCCTCTGTAAAAAGAAATGGTCCATTCTTTTTTAATAGTTCTGGTAGCCTGTCTTTCTGTCTGTCTTGTTCTTTCATTGAGATGAATAATTACTCATGTAATTACTGATGCTTTTGTTTGGATTCTTTCTTTAAAAAACAAAGTAATTTCAAGGTATAAGTTTCCATGTTACACAGCTGCAAGGATTCCATAAAAAGAACAACCCAGCCTGAATGCTTGAAGCCAGGTCCAGCTGAAATTGTAGGATTAACAATACTTCAGAGTACTTCATCTATATGCCCTGATACTTATTTTATATGTAATCTGACTTAAAAGTAATTAAGACATAGGAAATGTGAGAAAATAATAAATAATTTATTACCAAGTTTCCCCCAAAAAGTTTTCATCCTTGTTAGCTTGTGCATTGTATCTCTTTTACAGCAGCTAAAATGGGCTACTGTGTCTCTGCCACTGAATCCCACCTAATCTGCCTGAGCTCAGCCTGTCACAATCTCCAGTGTTTGCTTGCTGTTTTCCTCTACTATTCCGATTTCCACAAGATTCAGACTGAATGTTCCTGTATTTTGTAATATTGACCATATCCCCCCAAACATTTAGGTAACATGGAACAGGTGGGGGAACTGCAAAAGTGCCGATACCACTGTTGAGGCAGACATGCATATTTTACATATATTCTTAAGAACACTTATGTAATTAATGTCTTGCTGTGTGTCCTTTATTATGCATATAAAATAAAACATGTATCCATGCCCTGAGTATCCATACTCTACTGACCTCAACTGGCTCATCCAGAACTACTACTACTAGAAGCAATATGCTTGCTTGCTTAGGAACCATTACAGTATGAAAAATACAAAAATAAATATTCAACTTCAAAAAGTAAAATATCTTTTTGAGGTCACCTTAATACATACCAAAACTGAATAGATGTGCAAACACCTATAGACTGGAGAAAAGTCTACAAGATCTTGGGCAGTTAAAACCTGAAGAAGGAAATGAAAAAGAAAAGTATACAAAGCATAAAAAGCATATAATGCGCAAAATGTGATTACATGACCAACAGAACTTGTCCCCTTAATAAGGACCCAAAAATGGATGGGTTCTATCACAAATGTAAATTAATTGCTCGACTCTCCCCTCCCTTTGTACTACAGTACTAGATTTTATTCGTGTTACAAGACCAGACTCCTTTCACTGTGTTTTCAGAGCACCAGATTTAAGGTCTAAATACTCACTGTTTTATTCAATTTATGAATACTGGATATTTGATAGCGGAAAGAGTTCTAACACAAGCTGAAGTCCTCAACGCAGAAATGCTGACTTTAGCAAAAGCAGAATATTTCAGTGGGTGACATATCATTTACAGTGGGCAGGTAATACATAATGTAAATTGCAACTGAATTCCAGAATAATTACAAGTTCTATCCCATTGAATGTCCCCAACCATGATGTTAAAGCTAGCATTAGTACAACTAATATTTTGGCACTGTTTTTTCGCCCTAAAATGCTGATCTGGACTGGTGTCCCTTGAAGGTGTTCTCTGGTTCCTCCTAACTAATGTTGACCATCTACAGGCAGCATAGTGCAAGTTTTGTTAAATAAATCTATAAAATTCACTTTAAATAAAACATGCTGATTTAGTATTAAGTTACCTCTTCTTCGTGTTCATCATCATCTTCAAACGTTCGCTTCAATGTAATTTCATTCTTGGATTCCAAAATTCTACTTCTACCTAAATGCATATTCCGACCATAGTTTAGATTATTCTGCTTCTGAAGAGTGGTACTAAAGGTTTTCTGCTGCTGTGCCTGTTTTAAGAGTAGTACCAATAAAGAGGGATGTAATGCAAATTTCATCACTGATGAGTATATGCTATGACATGAAAAACAGGTGGTGCTATTGAACACACATCAGTGTAACTGCAAGATGTCTGTTCTCAGCCTACACTGATGATTTTGTCTTTAATCAGTTTGGGATGTTAAATTAGTTCAATAGCTAATTTCTGCATAATTGTTCCCTAATCCCCAGAATACAATTTTAAAGGAAGAAAAAATAAAAAAAGTAATCTGTAATTTTCCTGATCATAAATTTTAAACAGAGAATCGATATTTAAATGAAGTACAGTTATCACAGAGTTTCCAGCTATTTGTTTGCTGTCTTCAGTTAAGTCTTAGTGAGCAGACAGCTGCAGAAGCCAAATACACTATATTGTCCTTACTATTGAAAGAAATGCAACAAGGTAGCAGAGTATAATCTTGCGATTAAATTTCATTTATAATAATCAATGCTGCATTTTACAGGAACCTTTCTTTGATGACAAAATGGCAACCCAACCTGAACTCTGCCCAACAAAAATTAAAACTTTGCTTGCTCTCCAAATAAATTTTAAAAGCATTAACTGCTTTAAAGCTTGCCCAGTACCAGTGCTTTGAAGTGGCAGATTATTCTGTGATGGAACAGGCAAGGGCTCCAGCTGTCCCAGGTCTCCTCCTGGCTCTCACCTCAGTCCTCTGCATTAGTAGTACTTTAGAAAGGACGAAGCAGCTATCTCAACACTTTTTAGTCTTATTCATCCTTGCCAGCTGGCCAGATAGGCTGCTCTTTGTTTTGGTGTAGTAGCTGCTGAGTTACAAACTGTCTAGGAGTTGACTACTCAAAGTATTTCACAATTTGTCCCTTCTTGTCTAGGACACATACAAATTTGGAAAGAAAGTTTGAGGCTACTGAAGTATCACACTGCTGCTTCCTGTGTTAGCCAGGAACCACTAGAATGACAACTTCATGTCCAGGAGAAGAAACTACCCAAGATGTCAGCAAGCATTTCACAGCTCTCCATCTTTACTCAAAGGTCTATGTGATGACTATAATCCATAGACAAATCTTTTGGGCTAACCTGAGACTATCAACACTGGTATTTTCAGTAGATAACAGGACTGAAGTCATCCTGTTAGGTTGGCTTACCTGCTTCATGGCAGTTTCCCCAATTCTGTCAGAATGCTTTCGAATACTCTCTAAGAAATCCTTGAGATCAGACATGGATATTTCTTTTATTTCTTCACGCAGTTTTGGAAGATTTTCTATCATTATCTGGCAAAACCGGTATTGGCTAACTCTAGGAAGATATAGATTTTCTAGCTGTTCCATTGTTTTTAAAGCAGAATAGTATCTACAAAGAGATTAAAATCAAATTGTGTAGCTTCTTATAAAATTTTAATAAAATACTTTGTATATCAAATATAGGATATCATTATCATGCATGCAATACATACCTAATGAAATTACCCTGTTCTTAGAAAAATTAAGAAACAAAAGGTCAGCCATATAATGCTTTAGTTTGGAAAAAAAAACCCAAGAGTAAACTGTGAGAGTGACTCAGTCAAGTCAAAATTTTAAGTAGGCTCCTATGGTATTAGCTGTTCTCATCAATAGAGTCCTAACACCACATGGAGCATCCTGCAGAATTGAGGCACTAAAGCCATAACAATTATTTCCCCTTCTAGATTGCATTTATTAGGGGGTTTTATGAGTTCTTTTTTTCTGAAACACAAATTGCCAATCACCCAACATTGCCGTATACGCACCAAACAATGAAAAAAATCTTGGAAAAGCGTGCCTGTATGTATCTGCTTTCTTTAGGTACATGTGAACATATACACACATCCACACCCCACCCTCTTTGCACCATCCTTAGCTGGAAAAGACATCTATACACTTATCTAAAGCAATATTTTTTCCAGCAGCATATCATATTTTGCTGTAAAGCATGAATCTATTTAATTCTTCTGACAAAATACAGTATATCACATCAAGAAAACAACTACTTTGAAAAAGCATTAAGGTCAGAGGGTTTTAAAAAACCCAAACCAACAAAGACTGCTTAATATTCTCTATACTTCCGTGTTCTATTAGCCTACAGACTATTTGTAGCAGAAATATGGAAGAATGGCCTGAGAGGGGGGAAAAAACAAAACACCAATAAATACTTTCTCTCGTGTCCATACACTATGCAGATGTTATACCATACATTCATAACTGTGTTGTGAAATTTTACATATGGGACAATGAGTTTAAAGAAATACTGAAGTTAAAACTAAGTGTAAAAAGTGATTTAACTGCAAAATAAATTAAAAAATTAAAGAACGACTCGAACAATTTTCACAACAGAAAGCTACCAAATACTGAGACATCAACTCTATCTATTACTACAGTTATTTACCTCTCTTTGCTCTCAGTTCTCTCATAGATTACAGGGGTTCTGGGGCAAGACTTACTAAAACCTTTTATCAACTTCAGGCCTGTAGCGTGTAAGTAAAATCTTGATGCTTTCAGCTGATTTAGGGAAACATTTAAAGAAGGAAATTTTAATTGAAGGAAATTGGCTTTCCATGCTTTCTCTTATAATCAGTAGAGAGATGAACACCACAAGGAGGTGATTCAGAGCTGAGTCAGGCTCCTACATGCCTATTCCTGAAGTCAATACCTTTCTCTTTAACTTTCAAATGTCACACAGGTTTGTAAGGCAGAATGCTTGTGAAAATTTTTACTTTACTGAAAAGATGAAGTAAAAAAGAAGTGGGTCAATACTGAGATAGACAGCTAAACTAAGAAGGCAATAAACAGAAACACCACGATCAACGAATTTGTAATGTCAACAACATTTTAAAGAGAGGTGCAGGAAACAGGTTAAACATGAATAGGACAGCGATTAGTTGTAGATGTGACAGTAATTTTCCTTTACACAGTATTCTCACCAGCTACTCATCCCAGGAGGCTTTTGGGAAAATGCATTTACTTTGGCCTATTAGAACAGAATAAGGTGAACCGATGCCTTCTAGCTTGGTCTTGGAACAGGAAAAGCAGAAAAACTGAGATCAGGCTAAGTTAATTTGCTGTTAGTTCCAACCCTTTCTTTCCACAAATACAGGGTAATATCCTCAGCCCATTTTTAGCTTCTCATATTATAACCTTAGTTTCTTTTTCTTCCTGAAAGTCCTACACAATCAGTACTGGAAAATTGCCAAATCATTTTGAAAGGGAAAAGCTGAATATGAGCAAAGTCCCTTCAAATGTTCAAGAAAACCTGGAAAAGTATCCTTTCCAGTTCTTTCGCTTCTGGATATTACTTTGTAGATATAGTGAGTAAACACTTTCAAACTGAAATACAATTCAAGCTGTTGGCTCCCCTTCTGTAGACAACCAATAATAAATTATTAATACTACAGTCATAACTTCTTGTTCCATTCTGAAGTAAACACATTGTTTTGAATTTTCTCAATCAAGACATTTCTAAGTTAACAATTCAGCATAGCTGGAGGATGGGAAAAATCTTCTCTTTTATTCAAGAACACAACTGCTTTCCGGACACTGCAAATAAAGAGGTTTCAAGTGTAAATTAGGAGCTTTTGTTTATTATATACTTGGTTTATATAAAATATACATAAGGTGACGGGAATGTTGCAGATAAGAAGGAGTCTGGGGGTTTTATGTGTGTGGTTTTTGGTTTTTTAAATAGTAAATGACCAGGAGTGCCACATGGTGAGACTTCTGGGGAATAAAACCATAATAGCATCAAAATCGTATAAAAGGTTTTTATTTAAATTATACGGATCAGCTTATCAGAACACTGTTAGTTCATCTGGAAGGTTTTTGAGTGCTGTCTCTAAGATCAGAATTAACATAATCCAGTTTAAATCCATTCTAGAGTCCCTTACTAATTATATATCTATATGGAGCTCAGGACCTTGCCCTTTTAACATCTGTTCTGATAAAGCACTGAAGTCTTATTAATTTGAAGGTCATCTGCAGGTCAGGATTTAAACTAAAAAGTTTTGCATATCATTTCATGGAATGATGTATTTGTATATTTTGCTTTAAAAACATTCCATAGATTTAACTCAATGCTGAAGTTTTTGACAACAATATTATTAGTTCCCATCATACATTATCAATCATGTAAGGTGAAGATTGCCCATTTGACTACAAATGAGTTAAAGAAGTATCTTCAAAGCTATTTTTTTATATAAATACAGCAGTCCTCTGTCTATTCTTCTGAGCTAATCTTGTAAGAATATGTTCCCCAATGCAGAATTTATAATGTAAGCTTTGAAACTGAAGTCACAAGTTTGAAACACCAATAGAGGTCATATGATAAGACTGTTCAGAACTGATCCATCTTGTCATCAGAACCAGAAAACTGCAAGATGGATTTTACCAGCATCTCCAAACTATAAAAATGGAAACTTCTAAAACTAGCAAGAAGCGGGACTGGAAAAACAACAACAACAACAACAACACCCCCCAAACCAACCAACCAAACAAAAAACCCCACCAAACAAAAGATTAGTGGTTTGCATCATCTTATTCTAAAATGGAGCTGGCATTTTACAAAATGTCCAAGGCCCAGGCACAGAGTAGTCAGGTCTGTACTAGAATTTGAAACATCAACACACAAAAAATCCAAAAGAAAAAGAAAGTGACCGTTACTTTAGAGTACACTAAGTATTAAGTTATGTTTTAAATGACAGAACTTTTAAGATTTTTATCAGCAGAGTGTCATTTGGAGGCAGTTAAGAGAAACACCATAACTTACTAAAAAAGCCCCATCAAGATAAACTAGAGCAGTCAAGAACCTACACAGGACAAGAGCAAGATGAACTCAAAGGCTGTGAATTTTACTGAGAATAAGATATTTGTACACAAGCCTTTTGAGTAAAGAAAGATATAGTCATGTCCCAAAATTTCCTGCTGAAAAAACAAGAGGTGAGACAATAACCTTAAAATTATAATTTTATTTTAATTAAGGAAACAATTTACAAAGAAAAAAATAGTAGTGTTCTTCAACTTTTGTGCTTTGCTCAGAGACAAATACTGTATATTCTTGCTTAGTACATTTCCACTGAGTAAATATGGAAAACTTTTTGTACTCTACTAAACAGATTTAAGGGAGTTCATTGGAATTTTTCAATAATATTGTGGAAAAGTCACAATCACAGAGATCTTGAAGATGATATATTGAAATTGCAATTGAAAACCATTCACCACAGGAACAACTATCTATTTATTTTGGTTTTAGATCTAGTTGCCTTAACAATTCTAAACCTAATTTTAAACTTCCCCAGCATACCAATTTTATCAGTTGCCCCAAAGGACCACAAACTGAGATCAAGGCACTACTAACTGAAACTTCTGTAAAGTGAGTCAAAAGCTCAATATTTCTTAAAATCAGATTAAAGATTGCTATGTGAAAAAAAAAAAGATCTGTGGAATACCTTCTTCGTCCATAATGATGTGGTAGGAGATTTTAAACAGAAATTATCAAACAAATAGGGTTGCGAGAACAGTGAGAAAGCAAGCAACTGACAGTTCAGTATCAAATATATATTTTGATGGGGTTTTTTGCCAGATCCATGGTACCTCTGGTAAGTATTGATTTGCAGTTGGTAAAATCCAGTGCTTCATTTTGACATTGTTCCAAAACAATGCAGAAAACCAAAATCAAATCACCATCACTTGTATCTGTTCCAATATCTTTCCATATAGACATGGGTAGAACCAAATTATATAAATTAGGAAGTTTTCCTATTTGCTTCCTTTATGTCTTACGGTTTATTTGAATGCTTGGAAGGGCTGCATGACTGTCTCAGTGAGACTTAGTAACCTAAATAACTAACCAACTCTATCTTCCCCACCGTTCAGAAGAAAGCTTATAGTAAGGTCAGAAAACAAATCCAAGTCTTTCAGGGCAAAAAGCTCAATCTGAAGACCATGCTCTTTCTTTAGTCCTTCCCACAGTAGATTCGAGAAGATTCAGCAACCACCTTAGCAGATTGATTTATTGAATTATTTTCATTGTATGGCAGGTTTGGGGTTTTTTTTGTAATACCTATTGTAAAAACACCAGTTCTAACAATTCCCCATTAGACCACAATCACTTGAAGCAGCTGGAAACTTTCTCCAGAGACACATATCAAAATCCAAATGCACAGGCCATGGTAACAGAGCTGTATAAAATGTGTGATGATCTTATCTCTTACTTAAAGATCTAGGTAGTTCAGTTTAAATGCATGGCCTCCACTAGGTGTTCTGGAGAGCAGAGGAGAGACCATGCCTCTCCCCTGTGCTTCCTCAGCTAAGACTTTAAACCCTGCATAACTCTTTCCAGCCAATTTTGTCTCTTCAGAGCAGATTCCACAGTTGCTTCCTCTCACAACTATAGTTCTTGTCAACTTGTGTTATCCATGGCTCAGGAGACAGATAAATAGGATACAGAGTCTTTCACCTCTAGGTCATCAGTTCAAACATAGCCCATGTTCATAGGGACCAAAAGTTGCTATCAATAGATGGCTTCTTGGACTCCAGTAAACCTCCATTCCATCTGCATAAACCAGTATGTATTCCACACCCAAAATCCTGCATTATCTTAAAAGGTGTCTGCCATGGAGAAAAGGAAATGGAATTCCAATCTTTATCGTAAAACAACTGTCCCCCAAAAATACAGAATATCCACACTTTCATCTTCCCTTCCTTTAAACATTAGAAATGCTATGTTACTCACAGTGCAAGACTGTAAGACAACAGAATAACAAAAATATATTCTGACAGGCTGCAAGCAGAGAAAGACAAAAGAAAAGAGGTCTTTTTAAAAATGACCAGTGAAAGCTTTGCTGCATTAACAAACCTCAGTAAAGGTTTATGAGAAAAATTATCTTTGCCTAAAATAAACATTCCTCATTGTTTTTGTTAAGACAGGGATTGTGAATGCTCCTCTCTCTGACTCTTCCAGGAAAGCTTCACAGCAAAACTTAGGAACATAAGTTTTGAAATCCCCTGTATCTGCACACATCAGCTATCAGGTCTTTGCGCTGACACTATGGGTGTCTGCTATTGCTCAATCACTTAGTGATAAAGGCCAGGATACATTCACTCTTTGGATTTGTGGCCTGCTAAGCCACAAGGAAATTACCATTTGAATTACCTGCAAGCTTCACAGGATAGCCACCTCTAGGGTGTATTATAGGGAATTTTAAGTCACAGGCAAAGTAGTAACTGTAACATAGCTAATGAAAGAGATACCTGAGCTGGAGCAGTAGCCTGCAGCAGAGTCTAAGCCTTCTGCACTCCATGTGATTTCAAGGTATGGTACATCAAAGCTATGGCATCTCCCCTCTCCCTTAGATCTTTTTATGGTATGACAATGACATGTCCAAACCCCTCAATTCAGTATATCATCCTTTAACTTTTAAGACTTCTTGTCTGGCAACTCCTTCCGCAGGAAAATTATCAGATCTGAATCTCTTAAATAATAGAAATCTAGTTTTAGATTTAAAGAGTACTGATGATTTCTCAGAAAGCACATCAACCATCAGTGGACTCTACAAAACTCCTAGCAAACATGAGTCAAAAATGCTAAAAGCCATCTGCAATTTTACCTCACCTAAGTGATCTCTCTGTGATGACATTAGGAACTATAACTTCCCTTGTAATTCTAAAGCCGGGATGCTGCTTGTCTTGCCTAACAGAGTAAGGGAATGGCAGAACGCAGGCCTTAATTCCAATGTTTTCATATTTTCAACATGCTAAACATAGCGTGCTCTACAGACCACCTTGCAGATGGAAGCAGTGCGATTCAGACAGCACACCCTGCAGTCTGTTCTCTGACCAGACTAGGAAGAGCACTGGACTGTTTACATCTTTCTGCTGAGCTGCTCCAAGAGCACTGCAACAACATGCTGCCAGCTATTCTAAGCAGATATCAAATCAGTGTCCTGTTCAGAGGAAATAGCGTATAGTAGTCAAGCTGATAAGATCTACCACACTGGTTCACATCTAGCAAGTTTTGACTGTTAAGAAGAGACAGCATAGTGCCATAGCTATTAGGTTATTCTTAAAGCTCTTCTATTTCTGCAGCAGACCTCCCAGACAGCATGTGTGCACAGGTATCAAGTAGGACATATACCACTGTCAAAGATGCATCAGATTTGCTGCAATGCTGATTGATCTGATGTGTACAGTACATGTGATGCATTTTGGACATGTCTGCACACAGGCTTTAGAGCTGATTTACTCATACACAGTGGCCTTTGTTGAGGATTTTCAGATGTCCAGTGGTATGGCAGGAGGTGTTGGCTACCCAGACAACAGAAATCCAGACAAACAGTCCAGAAGTAAATCTAGATTACACAGTAGTCTTGTAGACACCTTACTATGCATAGCTAGTTCCAAATGGAAACAGGTCCAGACAGACTTGTTAGCAGAAGCTTGCTGCAGTGGTGCCAGGTGCACAAAGAGGCAATGACAACGATCATGAATCCCGCAAAGGAAGACACAGAGTAATCGGTGTGACTGAGGCTGTATGAAAAGCAGGCAGGGATGAAGGTGGCAATGAGGCTGTAGAAATCAGGAAAAGAGAAGCAGTGGTATTCCTGCGGTGAGTGTGCATGAGGTACAAGGCAGCAGCAGCAGCCCCAGTGGGACAGGATGACAGCTACAGGGGGGCAGGGGCAGTCAAGCTGTCACACAGAGAGAACTGGGAATGCTGGGGTTACAGCAGCAGTAAGTGGCTCTCTGAGAAGATGGAAAGCAAAGACACAACAGAGGAAGGAGCAACTGGTCATGTACCAGTTCGAAACCATTATTCTAGAAATTTATTTTTAATTATGGTTTTATTTTAACAAGTCATTTTGTCACAGAGCGAAAACAACCCAAACACCAGCACATTTTCTGCACTTCATTCTTGTAGCCCCATGTACACAACAGATTAGCACAGAGATACCAGATAAGTCTAAGGAAAGGTATATGAAGTGAAATGTCCTTTTTTCTTGGATTATGAATTCAATTCAAATACATTATGACAGATTAATCAGGTATTAAGGTACTCTGAAATATCTTTACTCCCTAAGGATCTTATGATTCTTGCTTCTTAAACTGTTTTAAGTATTAAAAAAATAATACACTTCACATTTTACAATTGTAATTTCACTGCATGTTATGCTTATTTAAGTAAACATTATTTTTCATGGCAATCACTAAGCTCCTAGAAGTCTTTATATTTAATATAACATTTGTTCACTTGCAGTGACATTCTTGAAACACAGACAAGGTATTATGAAAAGACAACTACACATACCAAGCTACAGGACTTAGAATACTTACATGTCTACATCAGTGTTTGGTTTTCTATCAGTTTACTTACAAATGTTATATTTTACTCATAGAAATAAGTTCACTCACCTTTTTACATTCATCTGTTCTTTTAGTTTGCTGTACATTTCCAGCACTGCATAAAAACAAGCAGATTAACCCATGGACCTTACTGTGGCTTTAGTTAATAAAAGAGGAAAATATATACTGTAAAGGACAAAATAAACCACAGAAAAGGATATGCTAAATTTACCTTATTTAATTCCTACTGTAACATAAATGTGATAAAACTAGCAAAAAAAAAATTAATTCTAGAATGCAGCTAAGAAAAAAGAACTGAACTCTTAACAGCCTTTAAATGAAAAAGAATTAAGATGAAACGTAACAGTAGACACTGTATATATCAAGCATATTCATTCACTTACTACATACCATAACTTTATCTGCATTACCAGCCTATGACCTCTCTCCATTAAATGGCAACAGTACCACCTACTGTACTCATAACAAGTCAACAACAAGACTTTGCAAAGAAAAATTCTCAAATCTGTTTTACGCCAGTATCACAAACAGGATGAAACCCTTATAGAGTTGTGTGCAATCCTACAACATGACCCTTCTGAAACATCATTTAGAGCTCTTATGCTTTATAAAAAAAAAAAAAGCCTGTAAAGACACAGAGCTAAAAGTACAATGTTGAAACAGAATCATTAGTATTTTCCCTAGAATTCAAACAGTAAAACCCAGCCTCTTAAGCAACAAATTCATTATTTATCATATTAAAATATTATTTCATTTAAAGTTGTATGTGGCTTCGTTGTTTGCATCATTTATATCTGTCTCACCGGCTCCTCACAAAGTGTCATAATTACTCTATGTCAAGTATTGTAAAAGAGATGGAACCTATGAGTTGACATTGTTTTAAAGCCCACTAATTTTTGTGTTGAACTGGATGTTACAGGACCACAACTTAAAAAACAAAATTCTTTTCCATTTTGGCTACTGTGACTTACTGTATTTAATTTGCCATCGTATTTAGCTATAGGTCACTCACCTGGAAGACACAACTGTAGTTTTTCCACAACTGTTGTAATATTCCGTTGCTGAACTCTACATCGGATGATTTCCTCTGTTTGGGCTATCACCTTAGAGATTTAAAAAAAAAAAAAAAAGAAAGAAAAAAAAAAAAATCACAATTAAATTAGGCAAATAAATTTAATTTGCTACAAATATTCATAATGCCCATATAGGAAGCACCACTTTCTCACCTCTTTCCCAGCATCCTGAAGCCTTCGGTTGGTATCAGTAACTTGGACCTTAAAAATAATTTCACCTTTGTTAGACAAATATGCATATATTGCCCTGATGTGACTGCTCACCCTTGTAATCAGATCATGCTTCATGAGAAACTTAGAACAAAGAAATGCAAATTCAAATTAACTCTACAGCTTGAACTTGAACTTTTGATCGCAAAGGGCTTTTGTTAACTTCAATTACTTATGACAGTTCTTTCTAACAGATTCTGTGGCAAACTTCTCAAATTTACTTGGGATTTTTGAACTTTCCTTGTTTCTGTAGGTCTGTCAAACAATTCAAATCATTGACCCAATTGACCACTGGTCCCTTTTTGATAACCTCAATGAGCTCTATGGGCCATTCATTGTCTGTAAGAAATGGTGATTGCATTTTATGGTAATTAAACATTCATACTTTGCTGAATGCAAACACTGGGTGGTTGATTAACATCAAACGTGGAAATCTCCAAACCACAGCAACATTTTAATGCTGCAGGTGCAGGCAAAGCTCGACCTCAGATTTTCCCACATAGTAAGTGACTCATTAGGTCATCATAATAAGGAAGCACATTCTAGTTTATTAAAAATCTCATTAATTTCTGAACAAAGATGCTCAATGACCTCATTGATGCTGTATTTGGTCTCTTGTTATCTGAATATCCTTTATATAATGCTCTTCTAATCATAACCTCTGATGAACTATGCTCATTCTGTCTGGTGTGCATATTTTGCTCTCAAAAGTGTAAAGAGAGCTAAAAGGGACGGATCTCATAATTCACTATTCTGCATTCTGGTTTGGGAGTAAATCTTAGTTCTCATTTCTAATGAAAACTACTAACTCCACCTACTCTCCTACTCATTACAAAGTAAAGAAAATTTATTTCTCATGAATAACTGCAGTATTTTTATTTTTCTAATCAAGGTTTTAAATTTTTCTAAGGTCTGACATATAAACACATGGTTAGAAAAAGACCTATGTAAGAAATATTGGTTTTGCCATTTGTTTGTTGTTCGTTACCTTCTGAGAAAGCCTTTAAAAAGGGCAAAATAATTTTGGTAACATTTGCTGAAAACATACATTAAAAAACAAAAAAAATCAGAATTAGACCTAATAAAATACTCAGCTTTGTAAACGTAAACTACTGGATCAGGCAACAGCTCTAATTACAAATCTTAAATAATCCACTTTTAAAAAATTGTTGTATACATCAGAGTGTATGTCATAATCACTAAATTCTTATTCTTCAGTAGAAGAGTCAAGTTCCTTTTTTTAAATTCCAAGACAAATAATATATAAAACTCCGAAAAAACTAGTTCCTTACCTTTAATTTTTCTGCATCAGCCCTAACTTTAAGAAGTTCTGTAATAGCATCCACAAAGCCCTGATGGTGAAAATTGCACATCTTTTCTATCTCCCTGTCATGGTTACGTATGCAGGCATCTAGTTTTTCCATAAACCTCTGATGTGCATTTGGTTGGTCATCATATACAGACCTGTTAAATACAAATAAGAAAATCAAAGTTTACTTTTTCCCCCAGCTAAAAATAGTATGCAAGGATCTTTATTGAAATCTCTCTCTCAAAAAGAAAATAAAAGCACACAAACTTGATGTTACGGTGGCATCATTTGTGATCCACTCCACCAAAATCACCATTAAAAGAAAGAGATGGTGCAAAACTGAGAACTGAACCCAGCCCTTATGGCATTAATCCAGGTGCTTAACCAGTTACATCATGGTTGACCTGAGCCTCACTGGTCTGTTATTTATGCCCTAATACTATGGGTACAAAAGAATCAGTTTCTCCAACCACCTCAAATAGCATGGATCGCTTTTCCATCAAATTCCACTCTTTGCTAAATATAAAGAAGTGAAAACATACAAATTTGCTTTCCTGGTATTCCTGACACCAGACTTATCCAACTAAATCAGGGCTGGATGCTTCCAGCCATAGCGACCGGAGCACTGTGCAGCAGCAGCCGGACCCCTGGTGGAAGGCAATCCCCACTGCTCCCTGCCTCCTCCTGCCCACGCTCAATGTCTCCCAGAGCAAAATGATGACATGCACATGCCTAAGGCTGCTACCTCAATGGGATCTAACTTTCAGGAACGGCTAAAATCAGGTCTTTTGGTTTATTTTGCTAATTGTTTGAATAGTACACTTATAAACCTCAAGCAGGAAACATGACTCCTGGAGAAATTACCAGCGTAGCTTGTTGAGTCAGAAATAGAAAGCTGCAACGAAAAATGCTCAAGCATGAGAACGAGCAAAGGAGATGGGGCCATTTATAGCTTTAGACTTTAGCAGAGGAAGCAAGAAAAGAGGTATTACAGAGAACTGTACTGGAAATCAAAGGTATAAAGTCTCCCAAGAAATGTAAGGCACGGGCAGTTCCAAAATTTTATTAATAACCTGATATAGCAACAACAGCAAAGACAGGTAATTTTTGAAGCAGCTTTTCAGATAGAATGAGAGCGGCAATACGAGGATGATATAGTCATACATATATAAACAGGTTTCTACTGCAAAGTAGAAACGTTCAAAAGCATCAGGAGATCAAAAATCTTTAAACTGCTTTTTTTAGCCTCTATTTCCTTTCATAATTACAAAGTTTTCTCCAGAAATCTGTAAGAAGAAGCTGCTTTTAAAAAAAAAATTTTTTTTTAAATCCTTAAGATGGGGGACGGGGCGGGGAAAGCTGAAGTTCCAACGGTCTCAATGTTGCTTGTAGAAGTACAGTCTTAAGTTCAAAATCCAGGCAACAGTGAGTCAAAGTCTCTAAAACTCTTGAGGAGAGAGAAAGTACTTCTCACCCAGTCTTCTTGGAGAAGTATGACTTCCCATATTCTTCAAGATCCTCTTTTCTAACCAGACAGCTGTGCTCTGCCAAGATCTGGGGTCATCATCACCCATTCAACAAACCTATAGCTGAGTGCCTGACAAGAACTTGACCTTTCAAGGAAGAAAAGGGTATAGAAGAGATTGAAAAGATTCTTGTAACTAGATTCTTCATCCTTTTTGAGTTCCTTTTGACCTTGGACAATATACTAAGAGAAGCAACTGAAGTTAGAGAAATGAGAAAGGTAATAAGCTGTCCTACATGCCAAAGGAAGAAAGCCAATTCCTGATAGCCTGCTTGCTATAGGTATTTTCTCAGGGAAAAATCTATTCAATAAAATACTCCTAGAATATCCCCCTTTAGCTTATGATAGGAAAATAAGGCTACAGTACTGAAAGGCAGGCTCTTTCCTCCAAAGTGCACCAAGGGAAAAATGTAAGATTGTTGACCCATGAAGTGGTTCACAAAGGGAAAAATACCCCTCACCCTCTCCACCACCGCAGTTTGAAATGACAGCTGGAAGGAGCAAATGTGTGACAGTCAGTCTGTCCTCTTGAGGTTACTGTCAGGCTGCCTGAAAGAGACCCCTCAAGGCTGTCCAGGATAACTGAGGTTTAAAGGGCTATGGTGGAAGATCATGAGTGAGCCACACCTGTCAGTGGGAAACACCTGCACCCAGAACCTGGTGCTGGCTGGAGGGAGAAGCAGCAACCTGGCCTGGGAGGAAATAAAGGTGCAAGACACATAGTCAGCATTAAGTGATCTCTCATTAGGCAACCTAACGTTCTGCATCTGAAGACACAGTGGGAAGCATGCAGACAGTATCACTGCTACCTGTAAAGAAATGGGAAAGGGGTGAGAAGAAGATTCAAGAACTGATGTTGCAGTGCTCCAAAATACACAGTACAAGCTGGTGACGTGAGTGCTGCTCTGTCTCTATAAGAAAAGGGTCACAGATGTTGGAACCTACAGGGTGGACACAGAGGGACATCCACAGGTCTCCAGAGTACCATTCCTGGAGAAGAAATAAAAAGATTAGGAGGACCAGAGGCATCAGATAGTGCCTTCACAGATATTGGGCATGCATGAGCTTCCTCTGAATGGGCTGGACTCGCCATCTATACTGCACTGGATGCTAAAGCAAAAACCAGAAAAAAAGTTCAATTTATTACTACTTCCTCGAGCCTTTTAATTAAGGGTGGAAGATGTCTACAAGTTCAGGTCTCCTTCCAGAGTTCTCAAAGGGAAGTGAGAAAGGCGTATCATTATCACAAAGATAGGAGACTTCCATCTATCACTATGGACTCATAACTGTAAGCTCTGTAACATAACTGTAAGTGAAAACAGTAGTAAAACACACACAGACAGACTAAATATACCTAAAATGAGAACAAGACTGTAAAAAGATGGTGCAAGAGGAACTCCATACTTGAGTTTGTGGTAGCACATACTTTCTTTGGTGGTAGCAATGCACTGTCTTTTTGGACTTAGTTATTGCCTGATGATTTTGGGGTATCCAGTAGCTGCAGTTCAGCATGGCTGTCTTGATACCTTTTTATCGATTTCAGATCTGTCAACACTGGCAGACATGCTGTTAAAATACTGAGAGAAGGAAATAATTTGTCATCAGGAGATTTCTCTTTAAAATGTTGTCAAACAATTCCAGACAACATAGCCAGAAATCCTGGAAGCACATACGATATAGCATAGGCAATACAGTATTCACTGTTATAAAAACCAGTATTTATTATTTTTTCTCAGTATTAAAGCTACTTATACTTCAGTTTAATGAAAATAAATAAAGTACTGATTGATAATTCTCAGTGGTATTATCACAATATTTAATTCAAAATCATACAGGAAATAAATGTTTAAAATTGGGGAGGAAGAAATCAATACTGTGTACATCCCGACACACTGCCTTAACCACAACATTCCCCACCTTATTAAAATAATAGTTACTATTTTATGTTCTACATTGTACTGTTTCCTGCAGGGATACTAATAAAATGGTGATCTGTGATCTAAACCAGTATTTTGACAGAGCTCCTTAAAATTCACTAGTGGTATAAATTCCATATTGATTACATATGTAGACAGCTCCATCTTGTGGGAACAATACAAATCAATCCTCTTCTGTACACTAGTGAAAAAAATCCTGAGACAGAACTGCTTACCTCTAAAGAAAAAAATCATCACAGCATTTAAAAGAAATTCACACTTTGTATCACAACTCTCTGATCTAGGTGAGAAGTAAGAAGGCGAATTAAACAATTCACTAACTTCCTTAAAACGGTATACTCTTAGGACACTATACACATGTTATTTCAGAGGCTTCAGAAGGAAGTCTGACCTAAAGCACTGGCCTTTTTGAAAGTATAAGTGTACTTGAGAGCGCCATGCCATCTCCGGCCATGGACAGAAATTAGGCTTTTTCTCAAAACTGCAAACACAACTGCGGCAATGCACACCTAATTTACCCATTATGGAACATCACACATAGTACAGTATGGTTTAGTTCTGATACTGAAGCTCATTTTCCATACATACATTTCAAAAATTACCTATACTTACCTAAATAAAGTAATTTCTACCTTAGAATTATTATCTGAAGGTGTACATTTCAACAGATTATGGCACTGCAAGCAATTATGATAGCAATTCTGCACTTTCCAGAGTTAAACTACCAGGCAGACAAATCACGATATTGCAACATCTTGGAGAGAGACATGGAATCCTGAAAGCATCCTACAGCTAATTCTTTTAAATTACGAGACAAACTTAACAGAATTTACAATGCACACACACACAGAGCTCTGTTGGTAAGACAGTGAGGAAATGGTAACCCTTCCAGACCCGTTTCTTCAGGAGATGACTATTACATGCACTTACGTCTACTCCAAAAATCTCTCTCATTTTAAGTTGCTTCACATACGTCAGTGGGAAGTGTCATAAAAAGGGGCAAACATGCCTAGGCTATCAAGAGAAATTTTACATGTGTAATATATAGTTATTTCAATTTTTGTTTACATTTATACACCTCTGAATGAAGAATCCCAAGGATCCTCTTCAGCTTTATGGACCCCTGAAGTGGATGCTGGTGATCTGAAATATAGCACAAACCTGAACCAAGCCAAACTGAAAGACCTGATCAGTTTATATTACAATTGCTTTCAACCTCTGATCTATACAGCTATAGAAACCTACAGACTGCTAGTGGCTGATTCACACCATGAAACTCTAAAGAGCAAGCTTTTTCTCAGTATGAGTCTTCAAACTGAAAAAAAAAAAGGGAGAAAATCACTGATGTTGGAGACAGAAGTTTGTACTTGATTTTGGCACACACAAAAAACATACGCAATATACCATCTTAATTTTCAGTCTGGAATGAGAGAACATTCACTTGAGTGACTAGTTAGACACCAGTACCGCGAATCAGTGACAGGGCATGTACTATTTTCATTCCTAATTGATGGGGCAAGCAGGGCATCCATGAAGAGCACAAGCAGAGCTGAAGGATTTTTCTGGTAATGAATGGCAGGTTATTTGTGTAATATTTCTAAAACTCTGTATATAGAGACTTTTTCTTCAGACTTATCCCAACAAGTGGACAATACAAGTCATTAATGCCAGTCCAGGTAAATACAAGATAGTG